TACGGACTTCGGTAAAGTTATGGATGAGAATGAGTATTTTTTGATGTAAGATAAATTTAATTCAACGAGGAATAACTTGACACTATAATTGAAGTAAGGTTTGATTACTTTTAGGATGTTGTTATTCTCTGAGATATAATTCTATAGCGCGAGTTGCCTGCGGCTCTGAAATTATAGTATCAGATATCGAGACTTCCGCTATATATCTTGCATTTGGGGAAAATACCTTTCTTACTCATACCGAATTCTGGTTTTGTAATATTTCCGACAATTCTGATGACAATATAATGGAAATGCGTCACATACCAAGTTTTCGCTGTGACGTGATTCATTTTCATTCTTATTTTTTTTCTATCTCTCTACATTTGTCAATATGAACTAAAATGATGAACAAATAAGAAAGAGGTGTATTTTACACCATGGAATGATTCATTCTTCGTTCACATTTTTATTACATTTGTTACAATGGACATCAATTCACTCTTTGCTCACGCTGTCCTCACTCACCCTTTTGCCTCACCTTCCCTCGATCTTCCAGACCAATAGGAAGACTTCAATTCATTTTTCTCTCTTTCTTCACTCCAATGCCTCACTCTCTTGCCTCACCTTCGCTCGACGCCTCAGATCAATAGAAAGGTGCTTCGACTCGCCCCTCCCCCCCTCCTTGCCTCACCCCTTTCCCTCGCCCTCGCCCAATGCCCCACACCGATAGAAAGACTTCAATTCACTCTTTGCTCACTCTATCCCATACCTCTCCCTCTTGCCTCACCCCCATACCTCTTCCCCATCCCTCTCCCCCCTGCCTCACTCCCTTGCCTCACCCCCCTACCTCTCCCCCTTGCCTCACCCCCTCTCGACGCGTTCCAGGCCAATAGAAAGACGCTCTTGATGGATGAGTTGAACTGTGTCTCAGGAGGAGGTCGAACAGATACACAAACGCTGACCACGGAGATGTCTTGCTGAGGGCGCCTTGCTGAGCGGGACTTGTGAGAGGGGGAAAGGGAGGGAAGGGAAGAGGGGGTGGCGGGGAGAGAGGCAGGGGGAAAGGGAGGGAGAGGGTGGCGGGGAGAGAGGCAGGGGGAAAGGGAGGGAGGGGGTGGAGGGTGGCGGGGAGAGAGGCAGGGGGAAAGGGAGGGAGGGGAGAGAGGCAGGGGGAAAGCGGGGAAGGGGGTGGCGGATGGAGGGGCAGGGGAAGGGGGAAAGGGAGGGAGGGGGTGGAGGGGTGGAAGGGGAGTCGAGGAGAGGAGGGGGGAGATGAAGGGGAGGGAAAGGTGGAAGGGTAGGGAAGGAAGGGGAAGAAAGAGGAGGGGGTACAGAAGGGGGGAAGGAAAGGAAGGGGAAGGGGGGTGGAAGAGAGGGGCTAGAGGGGGAAGGGAAGGAGGAAGGGAGAGAGGAGGGAACGGTGGAGGAGTAGTAGATGAAGAGGAAAAAGAGGAAGAGGAGGAGAGAGGGAAGGAGGAGGAAAAGAATAAAAAGAAGGGGATAAGGAGGAAGAGACTGGGAGGGGAGGGGAAAGAGAATGGGTGGAGGAAAGGAGGTAGAAGGAAGAGGAAGGGAAGAGGGCAGAGGAGAAAGACTTAGAAAATGGTAATGATATATATATATGTATATATATATACATATATATATATAGAGAGAGAGAGAGAAGAGGCAGAAGAAGGGGAATGGAAGGGAATGCGTTTCACAGAAAAAGCACGATAGAATGAGATGGGGTTACGTATGTATGTATATATATATATATATATATATATATATATATATATACACACACACACACACACACACACACACACACACACACACACACACACACATATATATATATATATATATATATATATATATATATATATTTACACATATATGTGTGTATGTATATGCATGTATATATATATATATATATATATATATATATATATATATATATATATATATATACATATGTGTGTATGTATATGTATCTATCTATATATATATGTGTGTGTGTGTGTGTGTGTGTGTGTGTGTATGTGTGTGTGTGTGTGCGCGCGCGCGTATATAAATGAACAAATAAATAAGTAAATGAATATACATATTCAAATATATATATATATACATATATAGATAAATGGATGGATGGATTAATGGATAAGTGCAGACACTTAAACACACACACACACACACACACACACTCATATTCACAAATGTATATCTTCGGGTATATGTATATAAAGATCCCAATCCCCCCCCCCCCCCCCGGGCACATTTGGTCCTTTCATCATCACGAAAGATGCAGCGTTTATTAAATATAAATCAATTATAAAACAGTTTGACAGGTACATGGAAGCCTCACCCTGTTTATATGAGCAGAATACCACGCTATATGTATGTATATATATGTATGAATGTGTGTGTATGAATGAATGTATTTATGTATGTATGTATAGGTGGCGGAGCGAGTATATGACGGGGGGGGGCGAATGTGAAAATTCAGAGATTTCAATATTAAAAAAAAGCAAATATGATAACCTATCATAGGTAGCGAGAGGTCTTTGCTTTTTTTTTTTTTTTTTGGGGGGGGGGGGGGAGGGGGGTATTCGGATTACCTGGTATAGGTGGCGAAGGAGTATTTGCCTTGGGGGAGGGGGTTTCGAAAATCAAAAGCTTAAGACATATTTAAGAAATAGCAAACATGACATTCTGGGCAAAATATTTATTCAGTAAGTTCCAAAATAAAACTATTTACTGTCCTTTACAGTTGTAAGTTCCCGTCACAAAATTTAATAGATTTTTTTTTTTTTTTATTATTAATCTGGAGCCCTTTACAGATGTAGACTGCGAAAGTTAATTCCGTGGTTTTTTATTTTTTAGAAACTACTAACTATTATTTAAAAAAAACAAATGCGAAACTATATGCCGAACTTGTATTCAAAAATGTCCAAAAAAATTCAACCTGCAGTCGTGTACGGACGCAAACTGCCTTGTAATAGTTGTTAGGTCAAGCGAGTCTGTTATTTCTTTGTGGGCGTGTAGAAGCATTACACTGTTCAATCTTTGCTGTGTTATGGTTGAACGCAAGTAATTTTTCACACGTCGGAGCATAGAAAATGACCGTTCAGCTGTTGCGGTTGATATCTTTACTGTTAAAAACGGTCTTGGCAGTTTCTGGACCTCGGTAAACATTGCACCCCCCGGAGATTTGAGTATTTCGACTAATGCCGAAAGTTGGGTTACTGATTTCAGCTTACACCGCTGCGTTTGCCTCACTAGTTCTGGCAGCATTTGTAGTTGTCGATTCAACCGACTGACATCCACATCGTCAGCATAAATGTCATTAACTTCTAGTCGATGTGTAACTCCCAAATTGTCATCCCAATTTGTTGCTCGTAAAAGAAACTTTCGAATGTTCATCAGCATAGACACTGAGGGTTGGTTGAACCGTCTATCTAGTTCATTATCAAATCAGTGATTTTCGAATATCATTTTCCTATAATACTCCATGGGAAGAACTAAAGTTGTGGTTTTCAGATCGCGAATCTAAACGCTTCTTTTGCGTGGTAGTTTCGGTTCATCTGTCAAGTTTGCAGCCTTGTTTGAGACAGTCTGTCCTTTACTATACTATACTCCACTATACCTATACAATACTTTTAATAAATCAAGTTCACGGAAACCAACATGTCTACTGTAAGAGTGATACCCATTCTGGTAAAAGGAGATATAGTATAATTATAGTATATTTTTATTAGTCTGTGTGAACGTGTAATGACAAATGTAAAGAACAATTTTTTCAGAAATTTCTGGGGGGGGGGGGCGGAGATATACTCTCGCCCTCCAGTTTTCATTCTGTGGGGAGGGGGGCGCTCGCCCCTCTGCCCCCCCGCTTTCGCCGCCTATGTATGTATGTATGTATGTATGCATGTATGTATATATGTATGTATGTATGTATGAATGTATGTTTGTGTGTGTGTGTGTGTGTGTGTGTGTGTGTGTGTGTGTGTGTGTGTGTGTGTGTGTGTGTGTGTGTGTGTGTACGTATGTATGTATGCACGTATGAACGAATGAATGTATTTATGTATGTATAAATGAATGTATTTATATATATATATGTGTGTGTGTGTGTATGTATGTATGTATGTATGCATGTATATATGTATGTATGCATGTATATATGTATGTATATATGAATGTATGTATGAATGTATATATGTATACATGTATGTGTATATATGAATGTATCTATATCTATCTATCTAGTTATATGAGTGTGTGTGTGTGTGTGTGTGTGTGTGTGTGTGTGTGTGTGTGTGTGTGTGTGTGTGCGTGCGTGTGTGTGTGTGTGTGTGTGTATACATACGGTTTACGTCTTACGCACAAGTGTACATATACAGAGTACAGTAATTGGCTTTTGCGTGTGTCACACACATCACTTGAATGGGCGTGCGCCGTACCAGTCAGAGCCTCGACCTGTACGGCCATCCCAAACGTATCATTAATTATTCAACCGCCTGATTAGAAACAAGCGAACAGTCGTATCACAGTCGAAATAACTACTTCTATCGACATTGAACCATACCAACCATACCATTGCACGTGTCGTACCGTAGGCGGGCGGACACACGTCAACCGTTTCCCCGCTGCCAGACGTATGGTAAACACAATCTTAGCCACGATTATACACACGAGATGTAACATTAAAGTTGTGTGTGTTTTTTTTAGGAGGTGAATTACCTTTTATGTCTCTATCTTACTATCTCATCCGTCTTCGTTCTCAAATGCTATTCTGTTGTTGATTCAATGTAGGTGAATACTCGACGACAAAAATCCGGAAGATCAAAGCTCGTTTAAAGAAAAAAAAAAGAAAAGGTTGAAGGCAACAAATGCGGCAAGAGGGTCTGGGCTGAACTTGGGCAGAGAGCCTTCAGCAAGCGAGATTCAGCGCTATCATAAACCACAGTGCATCAGGGAAGAGGGGCTACACGCTACCAGATTTCCTTCCTTTTCTGTAGCCTTCCCGCGCGACCAGCGTACCCCAAAACTTGAACCGAATCGCAGCCGGAGAACCTAACGAGCGAATTGTATCTAAACGACGGAGAGACGGAAGAAAGAACCGCATGACAAAATAGAGCGAAGGAAATACCCTCGCCGGGCACCACGCGTCTATCGCCAGGGGCAACAAGAGATGCCCGGCGTGCGTGCGTCTCTCTCCTCGGACGCTTCTCGGACCCTCTCGCCGCGGACATCCACTTGTTAGTTAGTCTGTGGCAGCTGAGTGGGGAGGTTGTGCCAGGCGAGGCGCGGGAGATACCTGTTGATTTCCTATTTTGAGGATATATATTGGAAGTGTTCGTGTTAAGAAGCACAGTTTGGTTTTTTTAATATATGTGCATTCACGATGGTGTCTTGAGGGATACGGCGGGGAGTGCGATAGCCAAGGAAGCAGACGGAATTGATTTCCTGATAGGAGTGTGAGTGAATAAATTGGTGCCCTGCGCACAAAATACCCAGAGTGGAGAGAAGGGGGGGTGGGGTTATTAAGCCCACCATGTTGCCGCCGCCCCTACGAGAAGCCCCATACCCCTGTGGAATTATACCGAGAGACATCTAGTACTGGTATCAGTCGGGACAGAAAACAGAGAGATGTGGGAGATGTTTCTCGAGGAGGAGGTTTCGGGGAAGTCCTCTCCCACAGGAGGAGGAGGGGGAGGTCGACCTCGTCCTCAATGCCACTTGCCTGCCCTCCACCCCACCAGTATCCGAGGCATAAAGACCACCGTCAGATGGACTCTCTCCTTCGGGTGCCTGTGGTTGCTGCTGACGACGCCCCTCCTCGTCTGCGCGGAGTCGAATGGTTGTGATTTCTATGGCAG